GTTCTATCAAGTTTATCACTTAACAGCTGCAGAGTTTTTGCGAAAAATTTCACCATTTACTCCAACTGATTGGTATTTTTTTTTTTTTTTTTTTTGATACCGCCATCCTCATTGAAAAGCACGAGCGAAGCAGCACTTTTGACAACAAACTACCCCCTTTCCCTGAGCCTCGAGCAATGTAGAGGTGAAACAGACTGGTTGCTATAATCTCCACTTCATTTTCCGCCGACGGAATTTGAAGGGGTCAGACTCGTTATCCCGTTTACTGTGGAGTGGAAAGAGAATCCCGACTGTTTTTCCGATATCGATCTCGACAGGTGTCCAGACTAGACCCCTATATCTCTTTTACGTTGCCGACTTCCCAACTCCTTCAAATTCAACTTCGATGCTTGCTTGCTACGCGGATGATGTCGGCAAACACCAACCATGCTATTCGGAAACTTCAGGATTTCTTATACTGCAGTTAAAAAATGAAATTTTGCATTTTGTCGAATTTTGAACAATTAAGACTTGAGAGCATTACCATGTCTAACAGCACACAAATTTGTCACATACATATTTCTAAAAAGTTGTTATTATTTCTAATTCGTACAATAAATATTAAAAATACTAAATGTGCTATAAACTAAATATCAAACTGAGGCTACAAATGTCCCAGAACAAATATACTGCAAATATGTTTAGTCTGAGAACTTAGGTCTGTTTAAGCCAGATATTTCTAGCAACTGTGAAGTAAAACTTCCACTCTACAGGCAAATTTAAAGTTCCTCTGAATTCAGATTACTGTACATAACTATGAATATGATATGAAAGCACACATTGACTTATTTTATTGCACTACGATATGAAAGCACACTTTGCAAGAAAGAAAGTACAGGAAAATGTTTATAGATTATTTGCAATCAATGCACATAAAATAAATACTAAAAAGCTATAGAATAAGCCATGTATGATTATCGATGTGTACAGGAAGCATAACAAAGCAAATGAAAACAGAAAATACAGCATTAAATAAATGAAAACAGAAAATAAAGCATTAAATAAATATTTACAGATGCACGACACTTATTTTTACATATATTATTAATTTTTTTATTTTTTATTTATTCAATTATGTGCTATTTCTAATTTAATACTCTTTGCTTCATAAGCAGAGAGCAAACATAATATTTTCCGAATACGTATCCCGATCTGCTGCTACGGATAATCCCTTAGTAGGGAAAAGTATCAAGCTGTCCTCCTAGAAGTAAGGCTCCTCTAAACCAGGCTGAATCACCAACTTTTCTCTCTTGGCGAGGGAGTGAACGCGCTGCCAATTTTGGCGCGTTTATCGAACACGCTGTCTGAATATCTGCTGTTTTTTTAAAGATTTATTTTATAGACGCGCGGCATTCAGCGCATATAAACTTTTCGGATAATTTATTAATTCTCGAATAGTATATAGACGTTTTCACTTAAATAAAATTTCGCGTATATTTTGTAACACATATCAAAATAACTTAGTCTTTTTAGATGTTTCAGTTTCCTTAGCAGACTAAAAAATAATAAGATATGAATAAAAACTTTCAATAGTGTCAAATGGGGAAATAGTTAAAGCGTAGAGTGTGCAAAAATTTATCTTAATGACATTTTTTTTAAAAAAATTTCCATAAAAGCACTGTAAATTCATACTAAAAAAATAACCTAAGAATATGTTGTCATTTAAGTCTGAGGTATATGGAAAATAATTGTGCAAGATTCTGAAGAAACACTTTCTTTCTAATGTGTGAAATATTTCATAACAACTATGGAAGAAGAAAGTACAGCATTCTGAGTTTTGGATATGCTTTTCTCCAAATGTAATATAAATACGAACTAGGAATCGTAATAAAAAGTCCTTCCCCTCCAATCAGATCACCTTTGTGTTGCATTGTGTTTGTAATACTTCTAAAAATTCAATTTTTACCTAAATTAAAGAACAGTTTATTACATAAAAGATAATAAACTTTGAACGTATATAGAATGAATTTTTTAATTTGAGTTCATGTTACAAAATAATTCATAGTTTATATATTTTATATTAATAATTTAAATAAAAACCTGTCCTTTTACAATTTAAGAATGTGTGTTAACCATATTCTTAAATTGTAAAAGGACGACTTAACCACATGTAATTCATTTCAAAGCATAAAAGAAAGCTTATTTTTTTATTTTACACAGCAACGCATTTTCATGCAGTCAACAGTCAAGTTTTTTTAACTTCTAGTTATTATACATAATACTTAATTTTAAAAACCCATTCTTATTAGAAGCATAACTAAGAAACTTCTTTTTAAAGCACCACAGTGATTGCAAAGAATGTCATTAAATTTACAAAAGTATTGAAGATATATTGAACAGCATTATAACAAGAAAGTACTGTACAAAATATGTAAATTGCATAACTTCTTTTTTAGTATTTGCATAGTTTCCTCCAAATGAACTTTAATGGGAAGTTATCTTGCGAAAATTTAAAAGTATTAAAATGGCCTCTATTTAAGATGTAACTGCATTTATAATTATTTTGTAATTGCGAATAGATTATATTATTACAATTCGATTATGCACTTACAACATAATTGCATAAAGTAATAAAATTGAGAGTTCACAGATACAATGTAATATAATTACAATGCAATTACCTAAATTGTAATTATAATCACATATTTAATACTACAATATTATTAACAATTCACAATGTAATTTAAATTGGGTACTACAATTTGCATACTCTCCACTCAAAAGGAGGTACTGATAAAGCCTGGAAGTTATTATTCAATCAAAAAGCCTGTTCAGGACAGTTTGATGACAATTTCCACCTGGGCGGAAAGTACATTTTTAAGCCGAAGCAAATTATGACAATAAAAATCATTTAGTCTCATGATGCACTATATTTTCTATATATTTATCCATGTAATTCGCAACTCCTAAATTTGAATTCTGCACAAAATTATTTACCTATATTTTAACATACTTTATGAATTATAGAAGCGATATGGCAATATCTTCTAAAAATAACTGTAAATATTTGTATCCATTAATTGATTCAGATACACACTTTTATTATTTAAGTATATATCAAAATAACAGTTTCATGTTCCTGAAATACAAAAATTCTGGAAAAAGTTAAAGTAATATTCTTAGAAGCATATGATATTAGTCACCAGATGCAAAATTTATAGTTAATTTTTGCCCTAAATACAATTTTATTACACAGTAGTCAAATGTGTAACTTAATAACATGTTATATAAAAAATTAATGATAATAAGTTTATCAGAAATGAATTAATTCTGCAAATAAACTTTCTGCACTTGAAAATTTTCTACACCTGAGGGGAGGGAGAGATCTAGTAAAATTAGATTTATTATAACTTCAGTTGTACCAAACATCTTCTCTCTATATATATGCATCACTAAAGAAATAAATAAATTATCATGCTTAAAAAACAGATATACCATACCAGTTTTTTTCCGCCTTGTTACCCTTTACATTGAGAAATAACAAACACTGAAAAATACTATCCTTGAAATTTTGTTTAAATGAAGAAACACACACCATCTTTTTATTTAAGCATTACAATTCAAAAACAGATACACATACCAACTTATTTTCACTATCCTTTATACTGAAAAATAACATGCCGTATAAAAATGAAAGACATTCCTTGAAATTTAGATAAAATGAAGAAACACATACCATCTTTTATTCATGCATTACTAAAATGAATAAAACGATTATTCTTCAAAAACAGGATACACATAATATACAGGATACACATTCTGACACATATTCATGAAGATTCACTGAAACAGCACAATCATCCAGTACTATAATATAACAAAATGGAAAAATTTATGCACGATGGACATCTTTTTTCTATTGCATGTTGTCTGACATGATCCACAAGTGCCAAAAAATGTACCCAAAGAAACACATTTCAATATTAACAAAAAATTTTGTACAGATTAAAATTCATTCATTTCATACCAGTATTATAAAGATCATGCATGAAACAAATCTACTTTCCCATACTTTTAAGTAAAACTTTTATACTGGAAAATAGACTATATTTCTATATATTAGAAACAAGAAAATACTAATTTGAATGTTCTGCATTCATTTCTAAATCTTTACTCCATTGCCAAATTGTATAATACTGTTGATTATAAATAAACTTGCACAATCCTTGCAATTATTGAAGTCATTATATATATTTTGTCTCACACTATTCAATTTATTCTATTGACTTCAGATGTCATGTCAAAATTCTGGAAGTTATTTTAAACCAAGAAACAGTAGTGGGCACCGTGCCATAAACACTCATCTAACTTTTTAACAATAGCGATTATAAAATAAAGAAAAAAATTATATATCATTCCAACGATTGCAACTATAGTATAATGTTACATATATCTTTTAGCAACATTCAGATTTTTATCTTGACTTTCCAAATTATTATTTATTTTTTAATAAATTTCAATATGCTAATGATTTTTCATGTTACATTAGTATAAATTCCACAATTAGCACAGGAAAACAAAATCCGCGCTTTATATTAGCAGAGAAATTTCTTTTTCCACATTCAAAACATCTACATTGGCGATGTTTTGGCGACGGGTACATTAACCCTAGACTAAATTTAATTATAGCTATTATTACAGAAATTAGCAGATACTCAGGTTATTGTACACAAGAATTTCACTTTACTTGCACATTATAAACATCAAAGAAGATATAAACTCTAAATGAAGGCGTAATTAACATTATACTTACTAAGTAAAGTTCAGCGCCTGGACCAGGTTTCCAATTGTCTCTTCGGCAATTATTTACCCATATTTTTCTTCTTTCTTTCTTCTTCATTTTTAGGAATTTTACCAATGTATGACCTTTCCGTGAATGATTTGAAACATTAATAGCTGTACATCCGCCCATTTTACACAAAAAAAAACACAAAAAATTGTTGCACCGTAACTACACAGCCGCCATTAAATCTCCCACTTGGGAGCGCGAATGCCTGATGATTCAGCCTGGTATATAGGAGCCTTACCTAGAAGAAGTACGCCATCGGAGGACAACCATAACGTTGTCTACAATAATAAGCTGTTTCTCCCCGTTTTGGCGTTAAGGCTGTTCTCCGAACCTTATCCCATCCGTCAAATTGAAAACTGGTGCCGGAGATGGAAAGTTTGCATCAACGCACAAAAGTCCCAAATATGAATCATTAGACGAAAGAAAAGTCCCAACCTACGAGGAAACAACTTCTCATCTTTAACGAGCCGGTCTCGACAGTCAAACAAGCAAAATATCTCGGAATCATAATTAATGACTACCTCACCTGGGAAAATCACATTCAACATGTCAAGAAGAAAGCTAATTATGTTTACCACTTCCTTCTCCCTCTGCTAGGTAAATACTCAAGATTGGACTTTGGCAAGAAAAGGCATATCTATCTCTCATTCATAAATCAATAATGACTTATGCCTGCCCTGCCTGGGCCGCTGCAACATAGCAAAAATTAACCAGCTACGAATTCTATTGTCTAAAATCCTAAGATGCATGACAAATGCGCACTACTTTGTGAGAAACGAACAACTTCAGGATTTGAAAATATGTAAAAGACTATCTCCTTTTAACAAATAGGACATTCTTCAACTCTGCCAAACAATGCGATTTCCTTACTTATTCTGGAACCTTCCATTAAGTTACTGAATGAGGATAGATATTTCCGACCCCTTGCAGCCCATATGTTTGCCGAAAATCAGAATTTTCCCACCTAACTGTATTTTCCGGACTTGACATGTCGTCACTGCGTAGCATCAGTTTATTATTCTCCCACTCCAGGACGTGCTGCTGATTATTTCTCAGACCTGTGCTATCTTGCGGTCTCCCCTTCTCAGCATGAAAACCTCGCTTTCAAGCACCAGGAAAACTTCAGGCGGCCCACAGTCAGGCGGCCCACAGGGCAGTTATTTCAAAGAGCCGGAACACGTCCTACAAATAGTATGATATTCGCGGCATATCAGCGGCACTTGGACCTGCAAACAGAGCGAGATAGAGACAATGGGCTTTCTTCTGATCGCTAGAGCTGGAGCAAACCGCATGTATTCATTACCGAGATAGCAGCGGAGGCAGAGGATTGAGTTGAATTTTATGGTTTTTAATTTCCGGAAAACGTTTTATCAGAAAGGATTTGGCATCCGGAAGTTTATGTGTGAAAAGCGGTCTGCATGAGCGGGCTTGACATGAGTGTCTTGTGTTTTTATCCCAAATTTTGATTGTGTTTATCTTCTGTGGTAATGGAAGGCAATGCATCCCCTGATGCATCTGCTGAAATACATAATTTGTGTTTGGAAATAAAGCATGCTTTTAATGCACGGCCAGAAGATGCTGAATTGAAGTGGTCATTATTAAAAAAATATAAATTAAAATACCTCCCTGAAAGTCATAATAATCAAGCTTTTATATCTAGCTATTATTCCGTTCTGTCAGCATTATTAGATTCTCTAAAACCAACTATTTTTACTGAAAAATGGCAGGAAAAATTGTTTGATGACATTTTTCTCAGTGGAGTACACCATGAAGCTTTTATGATTTTGGCTAGACGATTAAATGAAACCTGGTACAGTTTATAGTTTCATTTATATTATATTTCAGTGTTATTGTTATAGAATGGTTCTTAGGATTCTTGTTAGTTTTGATATTTCTTTTAATTGTTTGTTTTTCAACAATTGTGCGATTCACACTAACCATCAGTTCATTGTGTACAGGAAATATCAGTGATTGTTCTTAACTGTATATAAATGAGTAATAAATAATGGTACTCTTACTGTTATCAGGACTGCATTCAGAAATGTATGGATGGATGTATGTGTTCATGTATGCATGTATATATGGGTAAAATCCTAATATACGGTGCAGACTTGGCGCAATTTTGAAAATTATCGCCAACACCAAAAATTAGCAAAAGAACGTCTATGTATATATAGTGATAGTATACTATACACTATATACTGTCACTATATACATAGTATATACTATGTATACTATGTATAACTATATTGTTTCATAAGAATAAATTGAATTTAATTAAAAAAATTAAATTTAAATACATATTTAATTAAATATTCTTTGCGCCATTGCTGCAAGGAATGAAATTTAAATTTAAACAAATTTAAATTCTTAACAAATACGTATAAAAGTAAAAAAACCAAATTTAGATTCTAAAAAAAAAAACAAAAAAAAAAAAAAAAAAAAAAAAAAAGCCAAAATAATTTTAAAAAGAAAATTGCAAACGTAAAAAAAAAAAAAAAAAAGCCAAAATAATTTTAAAAAGAAAATTGCAAACATGTAAAAGAAAAAAAAAAAAAAAATGTGCAAACTTGTATAACTATATATATTCTTTGAATACCTGTTTACTACTCATCGTATATGTCCCGTTTTTACTGCTCATCATAAAAGTCGCCAAAAGTAGCCAAATCCCGTGTGCACCGGATACTAGGATTAAAGCTACATATGTGCATATGTATACACATACACACACATATAGATGTACATTCATATATACGTACATACACACATGCATGCATACAAATATACATTTCTGAATCCTGTCCTGATAAGATAAGCATAGCTAAATAAGTAATAATAAAGCTTTATATAGGTGTAAATTATAATTTTTTCAACCTCAACATTCAGTTCATAAAGTGACATCAAACATGTGAGTCTCTCATGTCATTGCTAGATATATATATATATCATTATAAGGTATAATTCATTACAAAATACAAACTCAGTGCTCAATATAGACCTAGTGGTTTGAGGAAAGTAGGTTCTTCACAGTGTCTTAAAAAAGTTCTAATAGTAGTCTCATTTAAATTTGATTTTCAAGTAATTTTATGCATACCTGTTAGTTATATGTCATTTTCACTCAAGGATCTTATGGGCCTTATTATTTGAAAATAACCTACTTGAATATAAAACCCTCTGCATTTTAGGATAAATTTGAAGAAATAAAACTGGAATTTGAGAAATGAAAACTGGTTCGTAAGGAGAAAATTAAAGATGGCAGGGTTCTTTCACAATACTGGATATTTTGCAGGTTGTGCCAAAAAACTGATGAATTCTTTCAGGTTTCAAATACAGAAGAAACTCTTTAAGAAAAATATATCATCTTGATCACTTCTGTGAAAATCAAACATTTTAAGCATTTATTTGAAAATAAATATTAAGCATACTCGCAGCTCTTTTCATGATACAAGAATTACGATTGATCGTAAATTGTGTACGTTTATATGAAAAAAGAAAATATAACACATGATATGATATATAAGAAAATATAATAATATGATAAAAAAATATGCTAAGGTATTGCTGACTTGGAGCTCTTGTTTCCTTGAGCAAATTATAGATGGTCAAAGGTAGGACTGCCATTCATTTGATGTTGGTTTGTATTGGCGATTTATTGATAATCTTGGGTGCACTTACAAAGTGAACTTATAGGCAATGAATGAACAAACAAACAAAATTACAAAATTAATGTATTGGCTGCTAGAAGTTATAAACAATGCTATTGATTAAAGACAAGTCTTCACTTATTTAAGCAGCTATCCCTTATGATATTGTATAAGAAATGAAGTATTATAAATAATTAATGCTATTGCTTAAGTGAAGATTTGTCTCTAGTCAATAGCATTGCGTATAATTTCTAGCAGCTAATAAATGCATTTTGTAACACTTATGCAGCTGAAGAGGAAGGTTATTTAAACCTTCAAAAGGAGTTCTGCAAATTTATGAATATTTTGCTGATTCTTGTTGCCTTGGCACCTCCAGTATTCATTATTTGGCATGTTATTTTAATTCAGAAAGCTGTTATAGTTAGTGGTAATTATACTGTTTATAGTAATTACTTGTGTGGTTTGCAGTAAAGTCCTGAAAACTTGACTCTTGATTATGTGACATTCTGTTTAACTTAACATTTTAATAGCTGAAATCTATTGGTCAAGCAGAACATTTTTTAAAAATAACTTAGTGGTTTAATAATAACTAGAGTATAATAATCTCGAATATTACTTGTTTGTTACAGATATTATAAATACATATTAATTACTGCTTTGTTATAATTACAGTACATATTCATGTGTATGAATGCCCATATCTCTGCAAGTTCTGTTCAAAGATTTATGGTATTCTAATTTTGAAACTTTTGCCTCTTTCCTTTTGTGACCCTATTTCTTGAAATAAATAATAAATTTGGTGACAGGTTTTTTTTTTTTTTTTTTCTTTTCTTTTCATAGACTTTCCAATCTGCTCCATTCCTCTTCTTAGTAACAAAATTCTAAGTAAAACCAGGTTACCAGGCTTTAGATTACCACTTACATTCCTCCTCTCTGTTGCTAGCTGTTAGCAGGTTTATGACTGTTCTCTGTTGCAAGCTAAATTTATAGTTTATTCTAGTGAGTTTCTTAGTTTATATCCAGGCTTGCAAAAGTTGTCTTGTGTCATCTATTTAAGTGGAAATGCAAACAAGAATAAAAGAAAACAAATTAACATAAGAGTGGAAATGTAAACAAGAATAAAAGAAATCAAATTGACATAAGAGTGGAAATGAAATTGAATGCCTCAACGGACTGGAAAAATAGAATAGTAATAAAATTCTCTTGGATTTAGGTTTTGAATGACATGCTATGAGTTGTAATTAACATCTCCTTTCTTCTGTGAAACTCAACATCCTCTCAGACCATTAAGTTGAGTTTGTGGAGCTCTACTATATTTAAATTTAAATAGTTTTAATTATTTGGTACTCTTCTGTTATTGGTACCGGATTCAGAAATGTATGCGTTTACATGTATATATGAATGTATGTGTTTATGTAGGCATGTATATAAGTGCATATGTACATATTTTTGCATATATGCACATAAACACATCCATCCATATATACAAGTATGCATAATATATTTCTGAATTCGGTTCTGATAGCAGAAAAGTACCAATTATTCTATATAGCATGATAGTTTAACTCCTTTCAGTTTTCAATTTCATTTTTCAAAATACCTGATTATAAAAACCTACCAGATTTTAGTACAAATGCACAGCAAGGCAGAAGGATGCCTTATTTTTGAGTAAAGAATATGAAGCAATATCTAGGACCTGCAGCAATAAAAATACTGCACTTTTGTTGTTATAATTTCTGTCTTTGAGGGATTTATCCATATATGAAATAAGATATCTGTATGCTTTACTGATAAGTAATTTTACTTAGTTATGAATGATTGTGATTCATTATTTATATTTACATTGTGATTTATTTTATTATTAAATAGCTGCATTGTGCAAAGAATTTTGCTTATTACTATTATTTATTTATTTTTTTAGTGAAAGTTATGCACAGGAAAAAATTCTCAGTCTTCTGCAGATGTTTCTTAAAAGCTCAAGTATTGATTCCATGCTACATTTTCAATGTGTTAGTAGCGTGTGGAATCCAAAATTCATAGCAAGTTCAAAAATGTGGGATGATTTGATTACCTTAATGGTATCATTGTCTGAAAGAATAGCTAATAAAACAAAAGGGCAAATGAAGTGAGTCTCATTTTTTCATTGTGATTATTTTATTTAAGCTGTAATTATTGATATAAGATAAAAGTAACTGTAATAAATATTACAATTAGGAAAAAATTATCTTTGTTTTTTATTGTATAGTATTTTTTTACCATAGTATGGAGATTGCAGAGTCACCATTCTGTAGAGATACGTGTTAATGTAAGGGTAAAAGATGACTTACCTGGTTTTAAAACCATTATTTTAAATAGGTTAGCAAATATATTAATTTAGCGCATATAAACAGATAACAAAAATAAATATCAAATGTGAGTTGCTCAACGCAATCAAAGAGTAATCACTAGCAGGAATCCACATGCTGGTTCGCAGGAAAGTCAGCAGGTATTGCACAACTGGGGTGAGGTAAATTTGATGTTTTGGCTGATGGCTGCCAGAAATGAACTTTTGGAGGTGATAGTCTCAAATTCTGTTTCATACTAGACTAGAGAGAGAAAGCTAGTGGTGTTATCTCTTGCATCTGGCTTCTACTTAAGATATGCCATAATAGTGATTATGTGTTTAAAAATATTGCTTCGATTTGGGAAGCAGAAAAATATTCTTTTATATGACACATTTTGCGCAAAAAAATAGTTCTTAAGCAATTGTAATATTCATAATGCTTTTTAATTTCTTTTTCTATTTCCAGTTAAAGGCATTAAAGTATTATATGTTATTATTATTATTAAATTAAAATATTTAAATGCAGTCTAGAATTTTGTTAAAATGAGCCACAGAAGAAAAAAAAACTTCTTTAATCTCTTATTTGCTATATTTATGGCATTTAACTTTTTGTGAAGGCCATTCATACATTAAAATCATTATAATTTTCTCGCCCACCCGGGTAGTGGTAAAGCCACTGAACTAGATTAGATCCAGTGTTCAAGTCCCAGTGAACCAGCTGGCTGCATGGGCATTGTCATGGTTTTTCTCATGTATAATATGGATATGAGCCATTTTTAACCTAACCTTTCGAAGTGAGGGTTTGATGCCTGCATGATCCTAAGATTTTATATAAGATATTATTCTGTAATTTTTTGCTATCTTTTGACAATTCTTTTTTTAAAGTTATTAAGTTTTTCATAAAGAATAATTAAAATGATATTGGACAGTCTCCAAAGAAAAACTCCAAACCATTCAGAGAATTTTGAAGTGAAAAGATGAAAATCTGAGGGAGAAAGGTCTGGTGAATGTTGGGGGGGGGAGGGGTGATACATAGCATCCCAAGTATATGCTTTGTCAGATATTTATTATGTGGGCTTGGAATATTGCCATTATTATTTACAATAACATTTTGATGATTGGTCAGTTCTGGTGCTTCGCTACGATTTCTTCTTTTACAGCTGCCCTTTCGGAACAGTAATTTTTCCGTATTTACTTTCTCATTTTGTGGCTGGCAACAATTCATAATATACAATTCCTGTATAATCCCACTATACAGAAAGTACTTTTTTTAATGAGGATGCAATTCCTCTCTTGATGCTACTGCAGAACATTCATTTTACCATATAATCCTTTTCTTGTAACATTATTGCATAATATCCACTTCTCATTTCCAGTCACTAGTGTTTTAAAAAAGGAGTTTCTTTATTTTGTTTTAACAAAAATCACAGGCCAAAATTCAAGCAAGTATATTCTGCTCTGTTAAAGTATGAGGTTTCATACATTTTAGTAGCTTACCTATCCAGTCTTCTTCAAATGATCATGTACTGTACTTTTTGGCATGTTTAAAGAATTTTATGATTCTTGAACTATACAATAAGGTTTTTCAGAGGTAGCTTTTTTTTTTAATAGGTCATTGTTTAGAGAGGATTGGTTATCCAGATTGGGCATCATCTTCAAGCTGAAATTTCTGCCCTTCTGAAAACACCTTTTAACTATGTTATCAGAAACGATACTTTCTGTTTGTATGCAGCAGAAATTTTAAGAGCAGTCTGACTAGGATTTTTTCTTTTTAAAGTAAAAGAGCATGATGTGATGAAAATGAACTTTTGGGTTCTCCTTACTTAGCTCTGTGCTGAAACAAGTTAGATCACAACGTATGTTAGAATTACACAGTATGAACTGAAAAGACTGTATTTACACATCTGCTTCAATAAGACTCGCTGTTATCAGCAGTAGTAAAACCATTAGAACAAAATGCACTTTGGTTTTAAAAATTATAGAACTTTCCATTTGACCCCAATATATGTGCCAAAGTTTTTTTAAATTTTTTCTTGAAAGGATATACCACATGCAATTTTAATCAATCTTGTTCAGAGTCATTTACTTTAGTCTATATATTCCTTATTTTCACTATAATAAATATAATCATTAAGTCATAATTTCCAGATTGTTATCACAAAATTTGGTAGTAGAGCTGTTAGTAACAGGAGGTTGTTATTTTAAAGATATTGGTGATATAGTTAAACCAGAAGCTTTTGTTTAAAAAACTTTTATAATATATGGGGGATTTTTTTTTTCTTTTCCCTTTAACATTTGAAATCTGCATAATGAGCCTGAATGTCCTAAAAAATCCTGTGTAATTTACAGGCAAGGCAAATGACATCAGCCAACTTTGAATAAATCTTCCATCTTTACTGTATTTGAACCCTTCAAAAAGAGAGGAAAACTATGTTGTTTTACTTCATTTGGTTACAAAAGATGAAATATTTATAAAATAACTAATGTATGGTTGAGACACTTTCTCAAGTATCTTTGATTCAAACAAGTATTTTACCTGATGAGCTGGCCATAGGTGTGTTTTAACATGATATTCTCAATAGCATATCTATATGATTTATTTTGCTAGTTGATGCAACTGCCACAAAATGAGAGGAAAATAGTTGCTAAAAATAATCATTACATCATTGTTTGTAAATTTTTAAAACCATTTTATGGTTGTCTTCAGGAGATAATTAATATTAGCACTGTAGTTCCAGCCATAGGATGGCTGAAAATTCCTTTTAAGATGATCAAATTTATGAGTTTTTAACCAAAGATTTTATAGTAATTTTATCCAGACACTCCATTTTATTCATTGATTCATGAAAACTATCCTACACTGAATTTACTATGAAATGTGGATTTTTTAAGCAAACAAATCTTGAGCAGAATAACAATAATGGTTTGTTCAAAAGATCTGTTTTGAAAAACTGGGTGCTTTTCTGTTATCAGCATTGGCTACAGAATATGTATACACATACATATATTTCTAAACCCAATTCCGATAACAGAAAAGTACTGAAAACTGCCAATTTTTATTTTTGAACATTAAAACTTGAATACATAATTCTTATAAAATTTTGATGTTGTATTAAAAATGACAGAAAAAACATTAAAAATTTATGTATGTAACTGACCTAAACTGGTCAGTTTGATCTAAACTGGTATGTAAACTGACCTAAAAGAGAGGAGAAAGAAGTGGGTCAAAAGATAAAAAAAACTCAAATGTCATCAACATACTGATTATCAGCTTGAGGTACAGCTATAAATATTATGAGTCTTTTAATTCTTTGATAATTTTCAAAGGAAACAAATGTTTTGTTTATTCTGTGACTAAAATTAAAGATGTTTCTAATATCATGTATTATGCTGCTTCAATAACAGAAGCTTTTTTTCTCTACATACAAAAATTTCAGCCAGACCCACTGATTACAAACACAATTTGTCCTTTTCTAAGATTTGCAATGACAAAATGTGGATACTTTTTTGCAGGTGTACTTTATTCCATATGAATGTCTAACACTGCGGCCCGCAATGAATTGGAAGTTGATCTGTCAGCACTATCCTTATCTTCAGGGCAGATGTTTTCATTTTATTTGGCTTATAATTCCTTACTAAATGTAGTATTTCATCTAAATATATTCTATCTTTGATATGATTTAAATCAAATTCCTCATCATTATAATTTGCTTCTGGTAGTGAAGAAAGTGACACAGAGGTTATTGAAAACGAAAAAATTTGGATTGACAAATTAGTCGGTATTCTCAACACAGCAATTATAGGACTTGAACAGCGGAACTTTGTAACTGAACAAGAAATTATGTCTGTTTATAGAATTAAAGAGAAAGTATTATCACATAAAACAAAGCAACTTAAACAACTTACATTGAAAGAAATGTTTAACCCCTTCGCGCCGACTGTCACGTCTACGTGCCAGCAATGAACACACTCACTTCCCGGCCGACACGCAGGCATGCAGAGCATTTTCCCGTTCAGTGGCAACTGTCATGTATTTGTGCCAGTGTCTTGGAACATTTTAAAAACTATAATTTCTGCCACAAGATGGCACTGTATGTCCATATGGTTTCAGATACATGTATATCCTTCTACTCGAAATGAGAGAAGCATGACTCACATACATGTGTTTTTGATTATATAAACAAACGGGGAAATAAATGTTTCCGAATGGCGGGATTTATGACGTCTCTTTAAATTCGCACATGGTAGTTGTTTATTGTAAGTAGAGAAGTTTTATTTTCGCTAAAGCGTTGGGTATTTTGGTTTGCAGTTCAGTTTTTAAAAAATAATTAGATCTTGTTAGACGTGAATTCTTTCTGTTTTTACCGTTGCAATGTCGAAGCGTCGAAAATGTTTAACAGAGCATGAAATAGCAGAAATGATGCAAAATATTTCAGATATTGATTCTGAAATTCTGATATTGATTCTGAAAGATTAACTGAAAGACATTTTCCAAAACTTTGTTCAGAAGAGACTGATAAGTAAATGAGACGACGATGCTTCGTTTGTTCACATTCCCAGAAAAATCCTCCAAAACGGCAAATGAGTTATTACAAGTGCAAGGAATGTAACATAGGACTGTGTGTAGAATCCCTGTTTTCAAATTTTTCATACGAAAAGAGAATTTTAAGTAATATATTTAGTTTTCAGATGTATAATGTTGAAAGTCATAAAATGGTGAGTAATCAAAATAAAATGTGTAAAATATGCATTAAACAAGAAATAAGGTTATTAAAGTATATATTAAAGTATATATAAAAATATCTATAAAGCGTAAGCTGTTTAAATACTTTATAGAGCATTATTAAACAATGCGTTGATACTTCGGAAATTTCATGGATTTAGGCTTAATAGCAAAAAAGCCCCCTGCCCTGGACAGACGCTCGCGTAAGACACTGCCAGCCTCCACGATAAGTGCGCGTTTGCACTACCCGTCGCGAAGGGGTTAATAAAGTAAACAAATAAATATTAAGCCTTTTTTTATGTAAATTATGATACCCTTTAGATCATAATTGCTCTTTATTTCATAAATTACGGTTTCATAGTTTTAATTTTTTAATTTCTGCATGTCATCTTACCAGATTTAAACTGATGATCCGGAAAAATAATCCGGAATCGCCCGACGAGTCCGGATTAACGACTTTTGACTGCATATCTCTTTTGTATATTCATACCAAATTTCATTCAAATCTGTCCATTAGTTTTGAAAAAATCTGACGTTATGTGCAAGTTTTCTTAATTTTGCATATGAGTGTATGATACAAATTTCAGCTTTTTTTTTTATTATTATTCTTAAGTTTTTTTAAAATGAAAGGTCTTTTAACTCTCTGGCTGCTCAACCCGCAATTTTTGCAGGCATGTGTTTTTCTTCCTTTATTGAGGAGTGCATCCCACCTTTTCATCATTTAACCAGTGAAATAAATTACACTGCTCGACATTGAAAATGCAACATCAAGAAGGAGTGGTAAGAAATTTATGCAAATTTTAGAGTAGATGCACGTCACTGAGTTATGCGAATGATGTGAAATGCGCAGCTCTCCGACGCACGTGAAGTAAGATATAAGGGAAGGAACGTGCAGAATGGGCAATATTCGTGTCGTTATTTCTGCCAGACGAATTATCAAAGAAAGTTGGTTTTTGTCCCGGTGGATAAGTGTAGTAGGAGAGAATGCCAGACTGCCGTCAACGAAGGCACTTCCAGCAGATAGACGATTTTACGAGGGGTATGGTGATCGGACTGAGAAGGGCGGGTTGGTTTTTACGTCAAATCGCAGCTGATACCCACATGGATGCAAGCCCGGTGCATCGGCTATGGCGAACATGGTTGGAACAAGGAAATGTGGGAAGAAGGAGGGGTGGAGGTGCAGCCAGAATGATGTCAGCACACGTGGATCGACGCATCTACCGACAAGCTTGCAAGTAACTTGTACTGCGATTCTGCAGCATGTGCAAGATACCCTGTATGTTCCCGTGCCAACCAGAACCATTTCTCGTTGATTGGTTGAACGTGGCCTGCACACACGCCGTCTGTTAAGAAGACTGCCATTGACCCCAGAGCATAGATGCCAACGTTTAAAATGGTGCCGGACTGGAGCGATGTGGATTACGGAATGGTGAAACGTCGTGTTCTCAAATTAGTCACGCTTCTGTTTATCCAGTGACAGTCGCTACATACGTGTGTGGCGTCGACACGGAGACAGATGTAATCCGGCAGTAACTGTGGAACACACCACTGTGTGACAATGTAGCGCAATGGTTTGGAGCGCTATTGCCTACGATTGCAGGTCACCTCTAGTTCGTATTCAGGGCACTATGACGGCTCAACGATACTTGGATAATGTACTGTGGCCGGTGGCAATCCCTTACCTTCAGGGGCTGCCTAATGCAATTTTTCAGCAGGATAATGCCTGACCACACAGTGCTTGCATCTGCCAACATTTTCTGCAAGGCATACAGATGCTTCCCTGGCCACTGTACTCTCCTGACCTATCACCAATCAAACATGTGTGGGATGTGATTGGATGCCGTTTGCAAACTCTGCCCCTGCCTCATTCATAAGACGAACTGTGGCAAATGGCTGAAAGGGAATGGAGAGCCATCTTCTCAGGACACCATCTGCACTCTTATTGACTAGATGTGTTTCTTCGTGCATCGCTGTCCGCCGTGGTCCTACATCCTACTGAGCCGACGCCGTTCTCGCTCTGTATTCTGACTATCATTTTGAAATAAAGATCACTTATTGCTGGTTGCTGTCTCTGTCTTTTTTCCAAATTTCATCACTTTCTAGCCACTCCTTCTTGGTGTTGCATTTTCAATGTTGAGCAGTGTATATACAGTATTAGACATTTGATTTAGATTTTGACCAACAGATGTCATTAGTCCTCTGCTAAATTGCAGGATTTGAAAGTACTTGGTATTTACCGCTCTAACTTCACTATATTTGCCGCCTTTTTCTAATCAGAAATGGCTGCTAGAAAATGTTCAGTGATTGATGCAAGAAAAGATGCAAATGGGAAAAAGAAACCGTAAAGAACACGAATCTGGTGCAAAGATTGCAAAATTGGACTTTTCCTTGAACTCTGTTTCAAACTCTATCATACTAAACAACATTTCTAAGGTATTTTTTCCTCAGTGCACATTTTAATTTTTATATTATGTAACAAATAGAAATTAACTGTAATTCAATTCAAATTTATTAAAAAAATTTTTTTTTTGTGTGTGACAACATCTGAAATTGGTTTTTCTGAGAACTTAGTTTCTCATGATAAAAATCTGTATAAAGAACTTTTCTAGAAAGAAAAAAGTGCATTTTTCAATTCTCCAATATATATAGATTTAAAATATGAAAAAAAAAAAAAAAAAACACACAAATTTTTAAGCGATTTTGGTCCACAAATTGAGAAGGTTAAATGGTCAGAGGGTTAAATGACAGTTGTGGGTATTCAGTTTGAAAGAGAAACATGCCAATGTAAAATTTAAAATTAATACAAAGGAATTTAGGAAGAGAAGGAAAATGCTTGCATATTTCTCTACTCATACAATGTTTCACCATTTAGACAATTTTCCCATATTTCTATGTATGTATCATGCCATATCATTAAACATTGTTGATTGATAAAGTTGTGTTTCACCCTTGAAGATTGTGGCATGTTTTGCATGCTAAACCTGTGTCATGAAACATTTTAAATAACAACCTCTTTTTGGGGTTTTAATTATTTCTGAAAAGTATTATCTCAATATTAGTAGAATGTTTGTTAATTTCTATCAAAAAAGTTTATGGCAAATTTAATTTATAGTAAAATGTGTGTTTTCTTTTAGCAAAATATTTGGCATTAATTTTTATGTACCTCTTTTGGCATCATCAGTTCTAAAAGTATTAGGTCAACTTCATGAAAAAATTATCAGTTGTGATCAAGACTGTAGCCTTGAATTCTTGGCTAAATTAATTGGAAGGCTTTGTGTTGTTGGGCATGCTAGTAAGTAAATTTTTATTTATTTAAAAGGAACCATACTGCTTTGTCTTTAAAACTTTATTGTGTTCAAAGCAAACTGTGGGCAGTATATTATTTTTCATTGATTTTTATTGTTACAATTCTATATGAATTTATTTGTGCATTTCTGATATTATTCTTGTTAAATTTAGTGGATAATTAAAACATGTCTAAAAAATTATATAAAAGTTCTTTAAAATATGAAATAAATTATGTAAAACATACTTGTTTTTTGCATTTGTTTATCTCTGAAATATTCCAAAGTTGCTGCTAAGACCTTCCATATATTTAATTGAAGAAATTGTATTGTAAGTCACTCAGTTATTCTTTCAAATAATCATCAAAAGCAAGACTAGAATTAATGCTGTCTCTTGTTAAAAAAGATCTAAACATCTGAATCTTCAATACTATAAAATTGTGGACACCAGACTTTTCTATACTATATTACTTTAAGAAATGTTTTATTAGTTTTTGCACTTCCTGCAGTGTTTATGGACTAGTGACTGGTTGTGATGATTAATGACTTTTTCCTCTCAAGGATACAGGCCACTCTTTATCCCATCCTTTAAAATTATGTTTTCCAAGTTTCTAAACACCATAAGTAATTAAACTATTTAAACTTTACATTTCAGTTTTGATAGAATTTTATGGCTTCATATTAAAATTCTATGGCTTCATACTAAATAGTTATTAAACTCAAAATATTTTTAATATTTATAAATTAATTGCATCTGGTATTTTTAGGTTTTTCTTGCAAGTAATTTGTCAGTAAATGTCTGTTTTACAGTTAGAACACCATAGAGACCAGCAATAAATAATTTGTATAGCAGTTGTAAATGTTCTTTTCCTTTAAACGATGTATTAATAGCAACCATATCTTCCTTTAAACCATGTAATGTATTAATTAATATTATTCTATGATACGGTGCCTTCTTGTTGAGTATTTTATAATTTCATTGTTTGGGAATTTGTATCCTAATTTTTTAGCAGTACTTTGCCACCTTGAAAGAAATGGGTAGCTTATTTTTGCTTCATTTGGCAGCTGGTAGGCTAAGAAAAAGGATACTGAATTGGATTAAATAAGTTTTTAATAAGAGAAGGCTAAAGTTATTAAAATGTTGCAAAACCTAATTAAATCTTTGTTGAAAAATTATAACTAATGATAATGCAAAAGTGTTCCTGTTGGCAAATTGCTTTTTATGTAAATGAAAATTATCAGTTAATATGTAAGTACCACACTTTAAGTTTTAATAAATTTATTATAGTTTCCTTTTTAAGTTATTGTGACATATCTTTTTTGTGTAACAGTAATATCAAAAGCTTTGTGACCCAGAGACAAGGATTGTGCATGCCATTGGCCTAAACTGTGGCCATCTTGTAAGTGACAATATGAATTTGCTTAGCTTCCATACGAGTTTGAAGGAAAATCCAACGGGAAATGCACCCGAGAGTCAATCTCTCTAGAAACTTAGCTCAATAGTATTTTAAGTGCCATCATATGTCAGAGATACTGTATGGTTATAAATATTCGTGCTTTCTCCAGGTTTCAAACTGGAGCCAAAGCTATGGCAGTCAGATTTCTAATCCAGCATGCGGAACTGTGTATCGGAAATTCTAAAGATATGCTCATTTAAAAATTATTTTGGGATATTGCTGTTAAACTGAATTTTATGGTTTAAATGCGATGAACATGATATTTAATAAATAAAGGTAACACATAAAATGTTGGAAAAAAAAAAAAAAAAAAAGACCCCTTTGGATGTAATTTAAAATCTGAAATCTTTCAGATTTTTTCTTTTTCCTTTGCCACCCTCCTTTTTTTAATGATTTACTTATTACAATTTTTTTTAAATCTCTCAGTGCATTGACATATTTTTAATGTGATTATTTTGTTAAAACTCTTCCTACCATCCTACCATATTTGGTCTGTTTCAGGCATTTGCAATATTTCTGAAATCTTGTATTATTTTTGTAAGTTGTGAAATATATGATATTTATACAGACTTGATAGCATCATGACATATCTCTTTTATATGAGAAACGTTTCTTCATAATCAAGGAAATATTTTGTTGTAAATGAGGGATCGTTAGTAAGCATTTAGTGTACTTGGGCTTAATTTGTGACCTTTCTTTGCAATGTAACTCTTTTGTGAGCTGGCCTTTGGAAATAAAGTGTTCTGAGTCTCCCTTTTCCCCACGTATGCACTTGTCCACATCGCTCAGATTTCATACAAAGTAGTATGTGGGGAAAGGATCATATTGAAATAAAAAGATGCTTATAAAGAAGTTATATGAGATTGGATCATATGTGGGTTTGTTATAGAAGTTAAAAAGCCTTCTACCTACTTCTGCATTTTCCTATTCAGCTTGCCATTTCTTTAATGTAAATTTCCTCAGCATATGTTTCGCATACGATTTTGGGAATGGGACATTGATTGATGGTAGAGATGGATCTTCAGCTGCATTCTTTGCAAGTGCCTCCATACAGGAGAATGACAGACAAATGAATGGTGAAATTGTCTGTTTAACAAAGAGGAATAAGTGACAGTATGTTTGTTGTTGCTGTCTCAGTACTGTAACACACCCATATTTGGCTGAATTCTTACAAGAAATGAAAAGAAGGTCCAATATGACACTCCTAAGACTATTAGACATTGGTTAACATCACATGACCCTGCAACAGACACCTTTGCATCCAGTGGACTAGTTGGCAGTTGGTATATTAAGAACTATTACTACCAGGCCACACTATTACTCTATTACTGAGACATATACTTGCAGCTGATGTAACATACTTTACAGCAGGAGGAACCAGTGTTAGCTAATTGCAAGGGCATGCTGTACCTCCATGACACTGCAAGACTACATGTGGCAAAGATGAGTGGGGATATTATTCAGCAATTTGGGTTGGAGATACTGTGCTTATAATACTTAACATTCATAAACTACAATCTTTGTCGTCTACTCCATCCCTGACAGACAACTCAATGCAAAATCTTTCAATAATGAGGCAGAACTCCAGCACACACTCATGCATCCAAGGCTATCAATTTTTATTGCCAGGACATTGGACAACTTCAGGAACCTTGACAAAGGATGATGGATGCTGTTGGAGATTACTTTAAGCATAACAATGAGTACCATTTGCTATACGTCTGCTTTTGATTTTCACAAATGGCAGGAAGGGTTTTGGTTACGTTGTATTTTAATACTGTTCTTGTAATGGATTTTTTATGTCATGATCTGTATCTGTATTCTTTTTATATATGCTTATTATAATACCATGAATTATTTCATATTATGTGAGCTTATATTTTTTAGCTTCATAATTCTAATTGATACTTTGTATGTAACTTTTCATTGCAGCTATTATTGCTAAGAAATTTTCTGTAGAATTTATAAAATATTGTGAATCAGATTATGTATGGAGGCGGATGGCTCAACATCTAATTAAAAAAATGCCTGCAGCTTCTCTGGAGTCATTCATTACAAATATGCTTTTAGTTATCCCCTGGTGAGTATGCTTTTGGCTAAAAATTTGCTGTAGAAAGTATTCATTAAAAAAATTGTTTTTGGTATTTGTTTTTGTATTTAGGCATTGTTTTTCAACAAATTATTGATATTAAAAAATTGGAGCAAGGCATATTATTGTTTTATATATAATAAAATAGGAAAAAAAGTTTCATTCTAACCTGTTTTCTCCTAAAATTTATAAAGGTGTTTTAGATTGTGAATTTGGATTAACAATATTTGAAACTTACTACGGTTACTGAGAAAAAGTTGTAAATAACTCGCTTTATTTCAAAGCATTTCTTTTTTTTTAGTGAATTTTATAATGTTTAATTATGTATACACTTATGTGCACACTTGTAAATATATACAATCTTAAAAAAAATTTCCTCAAATGTGTCAAAATAATAAGTATTATTATCTTTTGAGTTTTTAAAAATTATTTTGCAAGAATAATGTGAAACTATTTCTAAACTAATCGCTTGCATTAGAAATATATTTGGATAGCCTAAAACTGTAAAATTACTAATTCAAAGTAAAAAAAAAAAAAAAAAAATTAAAATTTTTCAGAAATGCTTACTTAACCTAATTTATTTAGTGGATCGGAGTACTAGTGAAGATGTAAAAAAATTGAATCTTCTAAGCTGTTTTTACCTTCTTGTATTTGTTTATTAGAATCTATAAAGAAATATGATTTAGAGAGTGTGTTATGTAAGTGCTTTTATTTTATTAAAAACAGAGAAACTGTTAATAAGTTTTTGAGCTCCGTCATGGACCCTTGTAAACTTCCTCTGGCATTGGGCAAAATTTTGAGTCATGGACCACTTCCTTGTATCTGCACTAGCCATTATAACTCTTTGTTTACCCTAGAATCTCATTGACTGGGTGTGCTGTTACTGATGTGTCATTAGACTTCACATAGGGCACTTTTTGAATTTTCTGCCCTGCAGTGGCTGACTATGCATTGGGGACTTCCAGTATGAATGCTGGGTTTGATATCCATGCTTTGTCTCATGGCTGTGAGCATTATTTGGTACCTATTTCCTTGTGCACTGAGTTTCCATTGATATCTGCTGCTTGCTCGATTGTTTCAAGGATCTGCTGGATCGTTGTAACTTTCTTTTCTTCATGGAAATTTTTCTTTTCAATTGACTGCACCTCATCCTTCTTTTATCAGACTGCTTTCTTTTAAGTGGTCATATTTTGATTTTTTTCCCTCATTCGCTGTTTCCAGCCTGCTTTCTTTTTCTTTCCGGGACTTGCATTCCTGAAGTTGATGGAATACTGCCTGTGTTTATTTCTGTTCCTACGTCGCTCATAAAAGGTGATTCGTGCACAATAATATGAAATAAAGACAAAATTATGGATATCACTACGCTTGTTCTAGCACTTTATTTGATCCACATTTGACTTATTATTTATTATTCCCCATTTGGAGTTTTTAGCTAAAACACTGTCTTTTATATTCTCTTGTTGAAGAAGGGGTCTTCAAATTTAGGCCAAAATTTCTTCGCTTTATCTTTAGGAATGCATAAAAAAGAATGATTAATTTTCAAGACTTTATCTCCCACCTTGAATTCAAAATCCCACCTTTTGTTGTCATTACAAAATTTTTACTTTGCTGTAGCCACATCAGAGTGTTTGATGGCCTCATCTACTAGTTTCTGGATGTCTGCCATCTGAAATTCCTCACCTGTCTTTTAGATGAAAAATAGTTCATCCAATTAACTTTTTGCCAAGAAAAAATTCGACTGGCATTCTCCTGGTAGTTTCATGCTTGCTGTCTTGAAGGCAAGTGCAAGTTCACTGACGTAGCTATCTCAGAGTTTATGCAATTTTTTTATAACAATATTTCTATTCATCCACTCTGCACTATTTGATGGCAGTCAATAAGGAACCATTTTATAATGGAGCTGCATATTTTGGAATAAATTTATTCAAAAGTGCAACAATTTTAGCAGAGGATCTTTTGAGGGGAACTATTTTTATCTATTTTGAAAATTGATCCAAAAGAGTAAATATCTATTTTTGTTAACCTCACTACTTGTATATGAGCTTAATAAATCAACTTCTGTTAATTCATTTGGGAAAGTAGCTTTTATGCTATTTAGATACCCAGCTGGGCTATGATTTACATCATTAACTAATTGGCAAATGCAACTGGAATTAACATACTGAGTAACAAACTTTTGTAGCTGTGGGAAAAATACAGTTTCTTGAACTCTTTGAACTGTTTTGCTTATCTTGAGATGGTCTGAAATTAGTGCATCTTCCAGTTCCTGAAAATACTTTGTCTTAAACTTACTGAGATAACCTGTCTTAATGTTATTTCTGTTTTTTTACTTTAGAGTAAAACAAAAGTTTGCCAATAATTTCGTAATATAGCCATTATATCCTGGTGTTCAAAATGATCAGATCTTTCAATGAAGGATAAATATTTTTAAATTCCAGGTCTGTTTGTGACTTAGAAATAATTGTTTTGCCAGAATCTAAAATTTTAATTCATTCCCCTTATCATCTGATTCAATTCTTTGTAAAGCATCCATGATAACATTTATTGGCAAATTTTGTATGGAACATGTTTAATTATTGAATTGTATTCTTGTAATTTAAGGGCCATCTTCTAAATATTGGCGACAAACTCTTCTTGAAATACAAACAACTCATGGTGGCATGCTCTGAATAAATTTTTATAGGTGATTTCCCAAAATAAACTCAAAATTTCTGAAGCACTGAAAGAACTGCTAATGTTCCTCTTTTTGTAGCTGTTTAATTCCTCTGAGTTGGATTAAATGACTTACTAAAATATGCAATTAGCTCACCATCTTGCACAAATACGCACAACCTCTACTGTAAAATCTGATGCATCTGTGTAAATTTCTAGGTTCCCATCGCTTCAGGAAATTTCAAAGCTGGACCTTGTATTAATGTGGTCTTAAGTCTTTCGGACATTGTGTTTGCTTCAACCATCCAAGTAAATTCGACTTTCTTTTTCTTTAATATTATTAATGGTTCTGCTATCTGTGCGAAGTCTTTGGTAAAAAGTCCTATAATAGGAACACAAGCTCAGAAATCAGTGTGATTTCTTCACTGTATTAGGTGGAGGGTAATTTTTTATTGCATCTGTTTTTGAATCTTTGGTTTCGATTCCTTTTTGAGATATCTTATAGCCAAAGTAACGAAATTCTTTGGCAGCAAGCAAATTTGCATTTGGATGCATTTACTTTTAATCCTGCTTCATTTATACTTCTCTTATACTTTTATGGTTCTTTTATACTTCTTTCTTCTTCTATTGCTTTTAATCCTGCTTCTTTAATCTGCTTAGAAATTATTTCATGTAAAGCTCGAATATGTTTGTCTGTGATTTCACTGGTTATAACATATAGGTTAAAAAACATAGATTTTTTTTAGGACAGGTTGTAGTATAATGTCTATGGCTTTTTTTTTTTTTTTTCTGTTTTAGTTACAGCAAAGCCTCGAGGGCTATCTGCCTAAGGAGAGGGATGCCTTCGTGGAGGACTTTTTAAAGGAAACTGGCTCGTATACACGTTACACATGAGGAAAACCACGAAAACGCCCATGCAGCCAGCCCGTTCGCGGGATTCGAACCTCGGACCGAACTACCAGCGTTCAGCGACATAATGTCCATGGCACTTTCAAACATGGTGATGCTCTATATAAGCAAAACAGTATTCTCAGGAAGACCTGGTAATCTGTGCGGTGGTTTTTGGCACATTCTGTGGTTTCACACATATTGGAAAATACCCAGAGAAAGATCTAGTATGGTCATGTATTTTCGGTGACTATTTTCGAATTATTTCTTCAATTATGGGCAGTGGTTAAACTGGATATTTAGTTACACTATTTAATTTTTGACAATCGGTTGCAAAAAAGCATGCATAACAATTTATCGATGGGACATTATTCTTTCTTCGTGGTACTACTGGGCTAGCATAAGACCTAGTTATGGGAATTTTAATTTTGTTTTTTACCATTTCTTGGATGTGTTTTTCCATTATTTCTTCTTTAACTTTATCATAATGGTAGAGCTTTGCTCGATTGGGGGGAGGGAAGAGTTATTTACTGTGTCTGTGGTATGGTTTATGATTTTGTGTTAACCCAATTGAATAAAGTAGTAAAGCTTCTTACCAGCAGGTTCATCTTCAGTTTTTCTTTTGGCTCTAGATCCTTGAAGTCTATGGCCAGATTGTCGCTTCCTGAAAATTAATTGTAACTCCTGCCACTTTTAAAAAATCCATTCTTAAAATTGCAGGTGCTTGAAGATTTTTCAAAACCCTATTTTTGTTCTCATTTTTCACTTGTACATTGTAACTGTACTCATATATTGGCACTATTTGCTTGGACAGTAATAATTTTTATTCCTTCAGTAGCAAACACTTTATATCATTTAAAATTCTTTCTAAAAACTTTTCTGCCAAGAAACTACTTTGTGACCCAGTATCCAATAATGAGTCTGCTGAATTTTTTTTAACAGGATTTGGATTAAACATAGGGATACATTTTTGATTGAAACTATTTAATTGAGTTTGAGAGGGAGTTTTCTTCTTCAGAGATCTCTACTTTTTGTAACCTCTGTTTTTCAGTACCTCTTATTAGTTTAAATTTTTTCTGTCTTCCCCTTGTTTCGTCTTTTGTGATTTATCTTGGCAATTGCCATTTACATGTGAAACTTTCTTTTTATCTTCAAAATGTTTACTGCTATCAACCCTTAGCCTCCATTCTGCTACAGATCTGCAAAAATATTCATTTGATCGCTGGCCATATCTTGACATATGCATACATTTCTCCCTGCCTACTTTAAACCTTACCGCAAGCTCAAATAAATTCTCAAGTGTGCTCAGGATTCTCAATTAAAAAAAAAGTCTCCTCTGCATCTTTTTTTTTTTTTTTTTTTTTTTTAACCGTACAATAAATTTACCAGCTGTGCATGTGGAGACTGTGATGCTGAGAAGACCAGACTAAAAGCTGTATTGTGTGTAGTCTGAGATTTTCTTCGAATAGCAACAGAGTTTAGTCTTCTTTGCTACTATAAACTAAGTCCAGTCCAAGCTCCTAATAGACTTAGAGCAAGTTATTGTTTCATCCGAACAGAGCTACAAAATGTTAAAAAGGTTTTAAAACAAACCTTTTTTTTTTATTAAATTGAAATGGAATATAAATGCATGACTCATGCTTATAAATCAGTCAACCACTTGTGGTGATGTAAGTAACAGTAAATTTAAATTTAAAACTATGTCTCATAGCCAAGGCTACACAAATTGATTAACTCAAAATGGGCTAAACCCTGTCAATGGCATGACATTTTAAATGTTGGCAACTATAATTAAAAGCTGAAGAAAATAATCATATATGAGCTAGCTAACCTAGTAACATGGCCTGAAAAGGCAGAAACACTCTCTGTCTTAGGATCTAACAACCTTGGCTTAAATACTCAATCTAATTGACATTCTGATGAGGAAATGAAAGGGAGAAGTGACAGTAAAGATCCAAAGCATAAAATAACTGGTGAATGAAAACTAATAGTAACCTTACGATTTGATGAAAGTTAATTTTTAAAAGTCAGAGAAGCAAGGGAACAAATATTGCCTTTAGCATTTTTATCCATGTAAATTTATTAATATCCTATGAGCAGTTTCTTAGCAGTGAAACCCACTTACTGAATTTCGTTATATTTTTTCCAATTTAAAAAAAATGTATATTCTTTCTTCATTTCATAGTTATTTATATACAGTTTAATTCATTTATATATTTTCTTTTCTTAGCTACTAACTATATCAGGTTTCATTGAAATTTTTAATTTTAAGTTAATTTAATTATGCATTATATGGTTAGTCTGTGACAGGTCATTTTATTTCTAGGTATGGTTATGTTGATTGGATTCTAGGAGATGAAGGTGTTAAAATTGAAAAGTTGAACTTTATCATGACAGTTAAATTGTTTCTCATGCGATGTTTTCAATCAGTATGTATTTTTATGATATAGATTGAATATCTGTTAAATTTAGTGAGAAATGGTTGAAAAGTAAAATTTATATATATATATATTTTTTTGAAAGTCTGAAAAGAAAAGTATTTTAGTTTTCAATCCTTTTTTAATTTCTTTTAATCCATGTTTATTGCTTTCATTATACTTTTGTTTTTGAGAGAGACAGAAATTGCCTGAAAATTATGGAATTTAACTTTCTGATTTAAAATGTTTAACAAAATCATGCTGTAATTTTTAATAAGGAATTAAATAGTTATTATGTTTTAGATTATTATCTGCATTAGAATGGTAAGAATAATAGTTACATGTTGATTTTTGTAGAAAGTGATTCGTTGGAATGCTAGTGGAAGTGCATATAAATACAGTCAAAAGTTGTTAATTCAGACACCCATAATCCGGACCTCAAAGGTTCAAACTTTCTGCGCATGCGTCGCGTTGACGCGTGCGCGTAAGGCCTTTACGGCTGAGAATATGCTTGTGCGCGTGCCCAAAATACGTTTACGAGTGCACGTTTAATGCATAACAGACAGTATAAGATAAGCTAAAATTATTTAATTATCTATTTCAGTTAATGTTGCAGATTGCGTTGTTCCTTAATCTTTGAATTGGATCCGGCTTATTATTTTTTGCAGACTGTTAGAGCAATTTTATAAAAGTAAGCTTGAACTTTTGATTATGTTAAATAGAATTTCTGATATATATTTATTAATATGTAAATGATCTACAAAGCGAAAGTATGTTTCGAAGTTCATTATACAAAAATTGGATAAAGGCATATCCTTTGTTTATCTAAACTTTAACGTTTGTTTATCTAAACTTTGTTTATCTTTAACGCTGCAGCACCCACCGCGCAATGAATTGGAAGTTGATGTGTCAGCACTATCCTTATCTTCAGGGCAGATGTTTTTATTTTATTTGGCTTATATATCCTTATTAAATGTAGTATTTCATCTCGATGTACTCCATCTTTTGATATGATTTAAATCAAATTCCTCGTCATTATAATTCGCTAACGAAGAAAGTGACAGAGGTTATTGAAAACGAAAAAATTTCAATTGACAAATTAGTCGGCATTCTCGACACAGCAATTATAGGACTTGAACAGCGGAACTTTGTAAACTGAACAAGAAATTATGTCTGTTTAAAGAATTAAAGAGAATGTATTATCACATAAAAAACGAAAGCAAGTTAAACAACTTACATTGAAAGAAATGTTTAAAAGTAAACAAATAAATATTAAGCTCTTTTTTTTTGTAAATTTTGATACCCTTTAGATCATAATTGTTCTTTATTTCATAAATTACGGTTTCATATTTTTAATTTTATAATTTCTGCATGCCATCTTACCATATTTAAACTGATGATCTATAATCCGGAAAAATCGATAATCCGGAATCGCCAAAGTCCCGACGAGTCCGGATTAACGACTTTTGACTGTAATATGTCAGCATGAGGGAGTGTATTAAGTACTCATACTATTACTGATACCTACATGATACTCATATCAATACTTCTTTTGTGGCATGGAGAATGTCAAGTGGGTAATCAAGCTCTTGTCATGTATGGTTTAGCTTGTCGATATTTATAGTGGTTATTCCCCCCCCCCAATAGCAGGCACTATACATTATAGGCATTGGCCACTACTAAGGCTGGAGGCGGTGGTCACTTTGTTATAGAAATACTTAACAGGTAGCCCACTGTTGCCTCCTATGAGAGGAGAGACAATTTACATCCATGTCTTGTTTGGAATTCGAACCCTGGCCCATCAGTATGGCAGTCAGAGTCACTTATGACTTTCTTGTTTGGGCAGCTCTATAGTGGTTATTGTATTGATTATTCTGGCGTTTAAATCAACACTCATAAGTTTCATCTTATAAAACAATGTCTTTCACATATTCCCAGAGAAAAATCTGAAAGGTAAATTCCATAATTTCTACAAAATTGATTTTCTTAAATATAAAAATGCCAAAACATGAATATTTAAGTTATTTTATATTTGAATAAAGTACATGATGAATATTTATGTCATTTAAACATGAATATTATGTTAGTAATTTTTTTTGTAACTGGAAGTATGTGTCTATGGCCAATAGTTGTGGAAATAAAGGCTGAGTAAGAACTTTCATGGGCACAGTGTGTACATTTACACACACATATACATATATAAGAAAGAAATAAAATAAACAGAATTCATATTAATCCAAAGTGACCAATTTTCTAACAAGGAACATAAATTAAAACAATTGAATCAAAAATTTGGAAAACAAGACTGATGTAAAAGTAAATTAATACAAAAATAAAAAATATTCAGATAAAATTTGGACAAGTTGCAGAACTAATCCAAGAAGTCTTTAAATAAAAATATTTAAAAAAATGTTAATATAAAATTTAAATTAGTTAATTTTTTAAGAAACAAAACTTTAAAAAATAATATAATAAAACTTGTTTGATGTTATTAGGCATAAAAAGTTTTTTCCTTTCATTATTTCCCATCTTTCTTTACTCAAATGCTTTTTTCAAAACAGGTACCCTTAAAAACTGCATTTTTTGGATTTTTAACAGTAAGAGTATTAAACTAATTCTTATTCAAGTTATTTTATAAAATTTCTTTGTCAAACAAGTTAGCAAATGTTATAGTTTTTAATTATTTTAGTACTTCTGTGATTTTGCAACTGCTTAAAGCATATCATCATTTCAATAGGAACTGATTCTTCAGAATATAATAGGTTATTTTGCTAGTTCAGATAGTCGAATAAGTTCTTTTTGGAAGGTAAGTAAGTTTTATTTATATTTATTTTATTTAACTGATGTTTTATCATTTCTGTGTTTCTGTGTGTATGTTTCATGAAGATATTTCAAGTTAAAATTACTATTAACATGAGAGCTCTTATATATATAGCTTATAAGAATAATATAGCCCAAATAATATTATATAATATTATTATATATATATGTATATTATAATATATATATGTATCTGTGTTTATTTTAAGCATTTTGTAGTATTGCATCTTATCTTCCTTTTAAAAAATGTAACTCTTCTATGCTGACACCCCCTGCTAAAATTATAAATTTTATTGAATTATAAAATATTATGCTGTAGAAAATCTAAAATAGAACTAAAATAAACTTTTGATTTTCCTCTATCTTTCTCTCTATCCCTTCTTCCTTTTTTTAAGGAAATTTCTTTGACTGAAAAGACTTTATACTTGATTGAAACATATTTCATTGGTAAAGTTTCATATTCCTACATTTTATAACTGCCCAGCATTATTTTCATTAATAACTGCCCGGCATTATTTTCATTAATGTAATGAATACAGTCAAGCCTACTTATTGTAATTTTGGTTTATGGATATCTTGCTCAATAAAACAAATTTTATGTGTCACAAACCGTAGCAATTTCTTTTAACCCCCCCCCACTCAAAAAAATTCCCACCTAAGAGAATATGATATTATTGCTGTCCTGCTTATAAGAATAATTTTAGTAAGTAAATAAAGTTTTCAAGCAATCTTCATTTTTATTTTATGCAAGTTTGGTGGCAGTGAGAGGAAGTAGTGTCCACAAAAGCATTACATAAAGTGTCTTCGTTCATTAGCGGTCTGGAAACAAGAAAATATTCAATTTATTCTGCTGTAAAGACATTTGTTTTTGTTTCTTTTTCATTTCTTTGCCCCTCCCAATCGAGATTTTGTAATCTGGTATAAAAATTTAGCATTTTCTAGTTTTATTTTTATTTATTACCTCCCCAAATTCAATGCAGTCTTAAAAAAATCTGAAGTAATTAATTCATATTACATCCAATCCAACACCAGTTGGGATGTTAGAAATTTGTAAACCTGTCTTATTAATGTCAAAATTTCCCTTTTACCAGCACTACTTTTATAGAAAAATCTTACATTAGAAGAATGGTAGTTTTATTGAAGCAGTATTCTGATTTTGCCAATTAAATGCTAGAACAGTTTTAATTATTACTTTAATTACCAGTTTTGTCATTGTATATGACACCCCCCCTTTTTTTGTACACATTTTTAAAGAATAAAACTGTATTGCTGATCATTACAGAGAATTTACAGTATTTTAAATATACAAATAATACAAATGCAATGTAATACTTTCTTCATATACCCAATCTATCTGGGAAAGAACACCTTTTAACCATCTTTGTCAAAACCGAGACACTCATCTCCATAGCTATATGAAAAGTCACTTAAATCCTCTTCTAAATCAGTATCTGTCCTTATGCAACAAATTGTCATGTGTACTGTCCAGTGTGATTGTGGATGTCAGGGTATACACATTCACTGAACTGTACATAATTGTAATATTCCCACATTCCTCAAGGAAAGAAGAAAAAAATCATATAACTCTGAATAGAGGAAATTTCCTGAAATGAAGGTAATCAAAAACTGAGTACCGACATATAAGAAACTGAGTACGACATTTTCAGACCTATTTTCAAAGGAAAGAAGTGCGTCTTATTTGTCAGCAAATATGGTAATTAATGCTATTATTTTGAAAAGCGAGTTTTCTATTGTAATTGATGTACATTTTCAATTTCTGATTTGTTGCTCATATTTTAATTTAAAATTGTGAGGCATTCATTTCAAACTTTTTGTGATATTTCTTTTTAACTGTTCTAATTCTGAACTTGCATTGGAACAATTTCTTTAGATTTAGCACTTATCTTTTTTCTTTGTAAGAACATAATCATATTTTTAAATTTCTTAAAAACAAATTGATAATACCAAAAATATAATAAAACTCAATAATATATTTCTGTGAGAGATGCACGTAATGGAACTGATTGTTTAAAAGAAAAGGAAAATGTTTCCATTTTCAGCATTGAATATAATGCAACCTTTTAATATGCATAGATGAATAGAATATGAATATAATACATAGATTTTCTTGATGTTATATCTGAATTTTCGAGTTAAATGTAAGAATAATTCTTTCAGATGGATACTGTAAATTGGCCGAAAAATCTTCAATAAATTGTTAATATGTTCAAGTTTTTAAAGTTATTAAGGCATGAGAAATATTCATGAAATTAATAATTTCATTAAACAGGATTTGTTTAATGTGTATTTTGTTTCAGTTTTAGCTTTTAATTCTTGAAAAGTACATAAATTGAGTGTTTTATTACTTTCTAAAAATCCTACCTTTTTCTTAGATTTTTGATACTTTACTTTCTTCTTGGACTGATGCAAGTACTATGAAATACCAAAGTTTTCAACAGCAAAAATATATTGCTTCTGCTCTAATAGTGTGTGCAGGATGGTTAAAAAAATTAAAAGAAAATACAAACAGAAAAGGTAATTTTTTTTTTTTTTTTTAAATTTTAGTTATAAAACCTGGGTCTCTCTTGTAAAATATCTGCAAATATGAATGAAATTATAATGATTCATTTTGGAAGGGGGGACCTAGCTACAGAAGTAGGAAATAAAAGTGTTTAGAACAGTTTAAAAAAAAAAAAAAAAAAAGAGAAAGAGAGAGAGAGAGGTGAAACATCTTTTCATAATCTGTGTGTGATCGTAGAGACAATTTGATAAGCTAGTTTGCTTTGATTTTATTCTTGACTTAAATATTTTCAATATTCCTTTATTTAAATTTAAAAAAATGAATATATCTTTGTGGTTTACATTAATAGTTTAATTTTGAAAATAGGAAACTTCATAAAATGGCATAATTCATTATACTTGTTTTCCTTTTTTTTACAAAGTTGTTAAAATATCTAACTTTGTTTCAGCATCCATGCATTTGACCCATTTAAAAAAAGTCTCGTCTAATAATCCATATGATTATTATAATTATTTGCAGTGATGTTAGAGAGGGATAATATTGCCTTTTTCTGAAAAAAATATTATAAGTTTTTAAAATTATTAATTTTAATTAATTAAACTGTTAAATCTGGTTTTATATTCCTGAGAAATTAGTACTTTTGCCAAGAATTTAAATTTAACTGCTGAATAATAGAATACACTTCCATGCTTTTGACCTGAAATCTGATATTTTTAGGTCTAGATGCCTAAAACTATGAAATGCTGATAATAACCTAAGATACTATGCCTGGCAGTTGAATGGGGTAACCCTTGTATATTTTGCCATGATGAAATGATCTAATCCAGTCTAAAAAAATAAAGATGTTTAATATAAGTATAAAATCCTTAATCTATTGAACTTGTCTTTTATTGCATTCTGCATGTTGAACATTATCTGCAGTTTAGGTGCAGTTCTTGTATTTATGTTATCTTAGAGATAAAACCATATTGCTTAATTAATTTTTATAAAAGATTTTCATTATTACGCACACATAAAATGAGTTCAGAAACTTGGATATTTGACAGAAATTGAGTGATTCGGGAGGTGGCTGAAATGTTCATGACAGAATCAAAGATGGGAACCATATTAAATAAATAAAAAAATTCCGATCTTCTGTTGAAATTTGATTGATAGTAATTGTTTAAACCTCCAAGAACTTTAATATCTGTTTAAGAATTTGGCCTTAAAATCTCAGTGTTCTCAAACATGCCATTAAATATAGTATTTTTTTCGTTTGCACCATTTTATATCCAGAGTCTTTTTCATTTGGCATACAGATTCAATTGTATGAACACATTTCAAGATGAATTTGAAAAAAAAAAAAAAAAAAAAAAAAAAAGAGAGAGATTTGATCGGCAATATACATAATTTGATAGGCTGGAATGTCAATAAAAGATCATATTCAACAAAAGTGTATGCTTTTTAAAATTCATTCATTATTCCAAAAATTGCCTCACTTTGTAATTAAAAACTTTATTTTGTAGTACATTTAGATAAAGTGTTATATGGAACACACATAAGAATTGCAAGCTCTGAAGCATCTGTTCGTAACCTGGGCATGATCGTTGGAGATAAATTGATAACTGCTATTGATCCTGAAGCTCCAAAACTAGAATTTGAGGTAAAAATTAAATTATTTATATTTAATTAATTTTTTACTATAATGAATATGTGCAGTATCATTGAATTTTTTTTTTTTTTTTTGCAAGTTTTGCAGTTTTATAAAATATTCTATAAGGGTTATAAATATAACAAAGTAAATGGGAAAAGAAAATAATGAATGCTGTTAATGAAAATGAGTCTTCCTATAAAATTACCCTGCTAGTTATGGATTGAAAAGATGTACATCAACTTTTGTAAAAACATAAGAAAGATAACTTTCTTCAGGAACAAATTAAATTATTTTTTTGCCTTTTAGTTTGTAGAATCAGTCCAGAATAAGCGAATTTTAGCACACAAAGAACTTTTTATTGAGCTTGAGATAACCTATCCTTTTGCTTAATTTTATAAAAAATGTAGAGTGTCATTAGCCTGTTATTATCAGTAAGTCAAGATACAAGTTGCTGTATGTATGTTTATAATTTCTGCTGCTTTCATGAAAATACTTGATCAGTATGCTGTGATGAGGTGATGCAAAATTAGATCTTCCTCACTACCACTGCTAACTTAGGTACTAAACACCAACCACTGCGGAATCCAGGAGCAGGAAAACCAGTTTTCTTGTAGTACCTAAGACAGTAGCTTCACTCAAATTCAGTTCCCAAGGTGTACCTTATGGCTTCTCCTTCATTCAGTTGCCATCTCATTTTTTTAGCTGCTAACAGTACAAATAAAGCATCTAATTTCTAGTATGTCTTTAATTTGCATACTTTCAACCATGTAAGAAATTAAGCAGCAAATATTTCTATAAGTATTGGCTATTTGCTTACAATGAAGCCACAGCTTATGAATTTAATTCGTTCCTGCATCAAACAAAATGTTCATAAACTGAAACTGTTTTTCCTATAGGAATTAATGTAAAATGGATTGATTCATTCCTAGACCACAGATGGCTACTAGTTTAAATTTTACAACAGTATTCAGTTTCATAACATGAAACCACCATTAAATAGAAGGCATCTTCTTTGATTTTTTCTTTGTCTCTGTCACTTAGTTCTGCTTTAGATTCACTGAGTTTTTGTTTCATTGAAGATGGGTCCAATCTGATTTATCAGGCTGATATCTTTATGGGAAACCGTTGCATTTTACTTCATTTTGCAAAAATTTTGTAGTTCAGAGAACTATGCTAATATTTCTTTCTTTTTTTTATTCTTAAGATATTTCTTCCGTTATCTTTTGTCTCAGCTTCTGAAGTTGTTCTTTCTTGTCGAGCTCATTTTTATGGTCCTTTAGTAACTTCTCATGCCTTCATTGTTCAACTTCAAGTCTATTGTTTTATCTAGAGACACAATATCATAGCTAACGAAAAGTCCTATATGTCAAAGGGCTGTGTTTGCAACACAATCTGGCCATAATTTTCTCTGAGTGGAATTTATGGTTTTGTAAGTCACTTGTTGACAGGTTTTGTTACTGAGAGTCAAGCAATGTAAAATGTTAAAATGATATTTCCAGAAGTCCCCGAGTGTTAATTATGTGGCATAGATCACCTCAAAACACCTTTGAAAATCCTATGTTGCCAACTTGAATGTTTGTAACTCGAGACATTGTTTGTCATCTGAGGCATTTTTTGTTCAAATAAATTGTCTGTTATCCATTGTTTAACTGAAAATTGTACGAAGATTGATGCTTTTAGGCACAATATGAGATGCTTGTAATAGGATTTAAATAGATTTTTGTGTAAATAATTTCTCATTGAAATAATAACTTAAGTAAAATTCTTAGTTCATTAAATAATTTTTTTTTTTTTTTATAAACAGGAAAGAATTCTCTAAAATAAAACAGTAAGAATTTTCTAAAACAGTAAAAAATTACATCTGAAATGACTTTGGAAAAAAAAGGCAAATAAATTTTGTTGTTATGGGCCTGGTTTGTTTGATTATCAGCTGTGTTGCTGTCAGAAATACTTTTTCATGTAAAAATAAATGCATTTCATTTGCACTTCTAACACTTGCATATATTTTTAATTTATGGAATATTATAATAATGCAAAGAAATTCTCACATAAATAACAAGAAAAAGATTAATATTTTTAGTATATTTTCTTTCGTTGCATCATTATATGTTAAAAAGACATTTATCTTTGGGAAATATTCTGAAATAAATATAATTTTGAAAATGAAAGATTTTTATTATCAAATATACTTTTTCTCAAATATCATTAATTATCATAGTATTTGTTGGTTGTGACAAATTATTGTTATAATGTCATAAGGTGAAAAGCTCTAGATGTGAGATAGTTTCTTCCATATGTAACATGAGTATGAGTTAGTTTCCCCTAGCAAGTCTTCCATGAAAGCATCCTTCTACTTAGGCAAATGACTAACTGCGTCTTGAATTGGTTAAAACCTGGATGCAGTGCCTAAGTATGGATTTTTGTAAGTAACATATATTAATGTTAATTGTTACTAGTTTCAATAAAGAAAAGCTAAAATAATTTTGATTTTCAATAACTGGTTTTGGCTAATTAGTAATCAAGTTATTATATATCTGTTGCAAGTAAAGTATGGAGTTTGATAATGATTTAGAAATGACTTTGCATTTTGATCCTGTTCTGATTAATATTTAACTAAAGCATAAACAGAGGAAATTAATATAGTACCGAGAGAGGGTTAAACTAAACTGGAAAAATGGTTAACAACATTTCAGTTAATAAATCATTGAAAAAAAAAATGAAATTTTTATTTTTAAATTTATTTTTATCTTCTATACTTGATATTTTTATTATGCTGTTTATCTTATTTGGAATTTTTTACCTTTTATTTCCAGCATACAGATACTAAATTAGTAAATTATGCTCAGAACTTGATTGAAATTCCACGCAAACCAGAGAAAGATTCTTTGTAAGTATTCCTCTTTAACTTTTTTTTGAGGTAAGGAACTCAAAATAAATTTTACCATTTTACTTTTTTTTTTTTTTTTTTTTGTGAGAGAGATAATTCTTTAGGGGAAGTGTTTTATTATACCTTCAGAATGTTAATTTGTTTTAACTGATTTGTGGACTCGTATTAAAGGTAATTGTTCACATAGTGAGAGCTTTGCTTAGAATTTGACAAGAAAATGTGAATATGATCCGTATCTTTAATTTATAGAAGTAGATGAAGTAAATTTGTAGTAGCATGCAAAACACTTAAAATAGTGAATTATAATGATCGTGATAGATATTTTGGTATAACAGCTCAAACTGTGGTTTACCAAGCATCAGTTCTCTGATCTATAATCTATGAAATTGGTACTGCAGACTGCAAATGGTATTTGTTTCAATATGTGGCAGCATCACTGCAATATTCATTCATTGCTAAGCTATATAAATTTGTTTTCTTTCATCAGATGAAGGCAACTACGCAGTATATTTTGACTTAAATTCAACAAGGTTGCATTATATTTGTTGACAAAACAGAATTTGTACTTGCCTGTAACCTTTGAAGGGGGGATATGAGAATTGAATATTAAGCGAACATGACTAGGAGAAAAAATAATATAAGAACTCCCTAATGCAGAAATGGAGATGAATGTATTTTAGTATAGTTATTATTTTAATTGTATACTTATAATACTTTTTGATTTTGTACATTCAAAAACTCTTATTAATTACCATTTAGTTTCAGTT